GGTGGTGGGTGCAGGCTCCTTAGGGGTGGTGGGTGCAGGCTCCTTAGGGGTGGTGGGTGCAGGCTCCTTGGGGGTGGTCAGAGAAGGATCTTTGGTTGTAGTTTCAGCTTTTGGTGTAGGTTTAGCAGGAACTTGGGGTGTGGGTGCCAAATCTTTAGCAGATGTTTTCTCTGCACTTCGAATCTCCTTAGCTGAAGTAGTCTTCTGTTTCTCACTGGTGGAAGTCTGTTGGTTTGTTACAGTAGTCTCTTTAGTTTCAACTGTTGTCTCTTTATTGGCTGTGGAAGATGTCTTTTTGGATGTATCAGAGTTAGGCGGAGGACTGGGTTTAGGACTTTCTGGCTTTATTGTTGTAGTTTTGGGAGATGTGGTAACTTTATTGCTTTGAGTGGTAGGAGTGTCAGGAGTTGGGGTGAGCTTGGGATCGCCACTGTCCAGGCCACTTCCAGCTTCATCCACAACTGGTGGTTCCTTTTTAGGTTCCTTTTTAGGTGGTTTTTTCTTGTCATCTTTTACTAAGGAAAAAACATACATCTTGTTATTTTTTAAGTTTTTTTTTCTTTTCCCCTTCAGTAGTGACATAAAGATCCTTATCACTGACTAGTTGTGTGTTTCTGGACATATTGCTAACTTTTATAATTTATTATAAAATGGTAATATTCAACCTCTCTTCTGCTTTTCTTTTTGTATGTGGCTACATTCCCAGTCCTTTTTTAAAATTTTTGAGACAGGGTCTTGCTAAATTGCTGAAACTAGGCTCAAACTTGTGATCTCACTGCCTCAACACCCCCAGTCACTGGGATTATAGGCTCGTGCCACTATAACCAGCTCAAAATACATTTGGGGGTTACTTTAGGGAATGAAAATGAATAGATTGAAGCCATTCTGAAGTCACCAAAATGATCAGTAATACTAATTCATCTTTTTACATTAATGTTCTTTCTCTTCACTTTCCCCACCCCCACCCTTATTGCTCATTACACAGTGCTGCTCTTTCCCCCTGGGAAACTAGTTCAGATAATTTGTATCACTACACCCATTAACTCAGAGGCCTCTGCACTCACCTCTGGGAATGGGCCTCATTCTTCCCATACGTTCCTGCTGAGCCCTGTTCCCATACATAGAGCTAGCTATTAGTGCTCTCTTTCCCCTGCTCAGCTAAACTTGACAGTCCCAAAAGAGGAGATTAGGATGCCAGAGCAGCAAAAAGGAGTTCCCAAAGCAGCTACCCAACAGGAGAACTACAAAGCCAAAGGGCACTTCACTGAGATGAATTCCATTTAACAAATATGTATTGCATTTCTACTCTGTGCATTTCTATTCTTGGAATGACTCAAAGACTAAATATCTGGCTATTTGGCTAAAGAGGATGCTTCACAACCACCTAGGAAATAAGAGTTTAAAAATTCAGTATTTCCTAGAGAAAGAACATATTTTAGAATTTCAGGAAATAACAAAGAAAAGAACAGAGGCAATCTCTTTTCAGGAGATAAGAGCCTATTCTTTAGCACATTCTCTAGGAAAAAATCATCCAGATATAATTTATTAGGAAAATGAAGAGTATGTGTAAAATGTGGACAATATATTGCTTTTCTGAAGAGGTTTATGAGAGGAGGAAGAGGGCTCTTGATTATTGGTAAAACACTTAAAACAGTATAAAAATGTTTGTTAAATAAGATAAAGCTGGGGGAGGACACACAAAAACACAAAGAGGAGGAAGGGAAAGAAAGAAAAACTATCGGTAGACAGGAATCTTAGTACAACATGTCATCTCTGGTGCCATCCTGTGGTTCCACAGTCACTGCTACAGCATCTCCTTAGCTTTTGCTTTCAAGAGTGGCTTCTTAGCTGCTTTGCACTAATTTCCTGTAGGAAGTATTCATTTGGTTTTTCTAAAATTATTTTTATGAAGTTTTGTACCCCCACCCCCACATAATGAAAATATCTTCATTCTACTAACACGCATTACTTGTTAAAAATTATTGTTAATATGGCATTGATATAGTCTGTGATCTTTATCAATGCTCAAACCTTTGGGTTTCTTCTGTAATTCTTTATTAGCAGCTGAATTTTTGGAAGACTTGATTTTCCGAATAGTTGAAGAGGAAGAGGAAGARGAGGAGGAGGACTCTTGGTTTTCAGAAACAGAATGTTCTATAAAATAAAAAGTTTGATCACACCAACTATGATTTAAAACAAAACAAAAAAAAGTTGCCAGTTCAAATACAGTAAGAACTGCTGATAACTGATCTACATGCTTGTGTTCTGCCTTTATTATATGATCAACTGCTTTTTAATTCATCTGTTGAAAGCAAGGTGCCTTGGGTTTATCCACTCACTACCAATATGACTTTCAACTTTCCCACATATGCCAAAATTTCTCAGGAGTTAATTACTCTGCAAAGAAAATCATGGGTTCCTTTTTTTTCCCCCATTTTTTTACAGCAAGATTTATTCCTTCTTATAACTTTAACCTAGATCCTTACTGGATTTGGTAAACATAAAAAGACTATATAGATAAATGCCTGGTAATTTATACTTTGGTTTAAACTGACTTAAAGCAAGTAAACAAAAAATGTAATGAGCCTTTCATGACTCCTAAGATTAGCCTCTGAGAATACTTTATATTGGTACACTACAGGTTATTTCATCTAGGAAATCTCCTGTAGTTACCTTCTGTCTTCTTCCTACCTTCTGTTATTTCCTCTGATTCTATAACTTTCTTAGTCTTCTTTTTTGGTGATTTGGGTGAACGTTTGAAGGTTGATTTGATGGTTTGAGATGCTCCTGGAGGCGGAGGTGCAGTCTTTGAAGGTGGTGGTGTTGTGGGATTGTGCACTGAGGCCAAGCAAGACAGGTCAGTTAACATCTGGTTTATGATCATCAGCAATGCTAACTGTAAAAAGCATGGGTGCATCTGGCTTCAAGAGTAGATGCTGATAAAATCCAGTGCAGGAAGGCTCTAGACCATAACACAGAGAAGTCCAAACCAACTAATTCTGAGGATGCATTGCTGTAAAATATTGATTCTCAAACTGTAGTAGGTTATAACAGAAGCAAAGTCTCAGGAATCAGTAGACCTAATAGTGCTAAGCATGCACTATTAGGACCTTGGGCAAATAGGCTAACTTCTCATGAACTTTTCTCATCTGCAAACTGAGATGTTTATTCAAGATTTCTGAAGGTGTTTGCCCACCTTAAAAAAAAAAAATTGATTCTATGAGCTTCATCCATTGTGCCATCCTTCCATGATTATAAAAATAGTACTACATGCAGATGGCAGGGTATTTATGGTCTTGAGGAGTATAATAATTATACTTTTTTTGTTTTCATATGTATTTGAATCAAATGATGCCAGTTAATGTTTTCGATTGTCAAAGTTCTACATGAATATTATGAAAATTTTGCACTTCCACATTAACATTATACTTTTCCTTCCCAAAGATAAACAAGTGTTAATGATTCCATGTGTATCTTCTTAACCTTTTATCTGCCCCCACAAACATACACACATACACTACATTTCTTCTTTTCAGGTCTAAAAGTGAAGACTTGGGACATTTTTGATCAATAGAAACCAGAAGAAAAGGAAAGGGACTTTTGGAAGGTAAGGAAACAGCAGTGGAGGCCCTCTGGTAGAGAAGAGCTGTGATCCATCCTCCTGCTCCCTCCAAACATCTCAGAACTCTACTGCTCCATGAACCACTATCCCTCTCCATCTTCCTTCTCCCACCCAAAGATGCCAAGTATCCCACAGAGAGGAAGAGCTCCGCCACATACCAGTTAGCCATCTTGGACAAAACAGCTTCTTGAGCTCAATAGCATCAAAAGCACTTGGACAGCTATGACTTCCTTCAGTTCTTGAACTGTTAGGATTTCTAGATATCTAGATGCCTATAAGCAGTATCTAGAGCAAACCCTGAAACAACTTGACAGCGAGATTTAGGATAGTTTGCCATCTTTTAAAAGCAAAATACTGAAACTGTAGGTGGCGCCTTTATTTTCAGTGGGGATCCTCATCCACTTGAATTCTGTAATTGAAGTTGACTGGCTTTGCTGTCATCAGTTTTTGTCATGAGTTCTGCCTAGACCTCAAGTACTGTACACTTGGTGGCATGAAGTAAGGCCCTTATTTAAATGTTCTCTCAAGGCTTCAGGACTCTCTAATCACCTTCCCTCCCTCCATCCTCCACCCAAAATAAATTCTTAGGTATTTTCTGTCTCAAAGCCATTATCAGGATAATGAGTAAATATGTATCTCCCACCATGGGGCCTTCTGAAAGCTGCAGGAGTGCTGAACTTTGAGTTTTTTGATTCTATGGGTGTTGTCTCTGTTCTTTTTGGAATGCTTTCCAGTGAAAACACTGAGCAGTTAGAAAATATCCCTCAACTCTGCTGATTAACAATTTCCACTGTTTCTCCACTGTTCTAAAGAAGCAGGAAGTACAACCTTGTTTAAATAAAATGATAAGATTATGTAAACATGCTTATTTTCACTATGACTTCCACAGATAGCCTCATTTTTTTCTTTTTCTTTTTTATTTATTCATTTATTATTATTATTTTTTAATTTCAGGTATCCTCATTTTAACAAAGTATGGTTTAAGAGCAAACATTCAGTCATGGAAAGTAATCGATTAGGTAAGTGTATTTTAAAACAAAATTTTTTTTTTTGGCAAAATCTGGAGGGTTTAATTATACTTAGAGTATTCCTTCAGAACTTATGACCAGGGAAGAAGATTTTTAAAAGAAACTATCTCTTTTTATTGACTTTATTATTCACAGGCAATTGTATAGAAACTACTGAGGGGACCTTAGGAATGAATGGGAAGTTACCTATAACTGACAGTTAACAACTTCTTAGTAGATTTTCCTGTAAACATAGTGGCTTAAACTAGTTCATAAATTTATTTGTCCAAAATATGTATTCAAACACTGATGGCCCAAAGGACAGTCGATTTTGTAGAGTCAGTACCATTAGGATGAGACAAGAAATCACCAAGTGAGCTGATTACTGTTGATTTAACTTGAAATTGAACCACATCAGAAGGAAAAAAGCTTATACACTCAACCTCTGCCTTCTCCATTACTCAACCAGTGATCTCTTGTGCTCCTGGAGCAATATCTGGGGCTGCAGTTATTGGAAGATATTTTTCTTCTTTAATTCATCTTTGTAGAGCAAAATTATTATTAAGCAGCTAATGCATTAGTAAAATCAAGACCTTAGGTGCACTGAGGTTAGACATCATCAGTGAAGCTAAAGGCTTCAGATCTGGCTATACTACTGAGAAGCATTGCTGGGTACCATGATGCTTACCTTCTTCACAGAAAGTCTCATAGTCGGAACAGCACTTGCCAAACTTCTTACATTGGGAGTCACAGTCACACTCCCTCCCTCGCGCAAAGGACTYGAAGCAGCGACCTTTACAGGAAAGCTCTACCCGAAGCAAAACAAACACATGAATTAATGATACAAAGCCATACTTATGCATTTGGTAGTCATTTCCCTTCTAATAATTGACTAGAGTTCCAAAGGTGCATTTCTAAGTCTTTTATTTGGAATTTGAAGTACATCATCTAATAAACAATGGATGATGTCCCAAATGGAGACAACCTAAGTCGAAAAAGAAATATGGGTATTTGGGAAAATGTCACTTGTCCTTCAAGGTGCTAAGGGACACCCTAAGGCTGTCTGAGCCATTTACATATATGAATGCTGGGAACCTTTCATATGAGTTCCTTCCATCCCCCCAACACCATTGCTTTGTAATAGGTTGAAATAAGTCGAACACTCAGATTTTATGATTATATTCCAAAGAGCTGGTTCAATATAAATGAGTCACTGTCGAGGCTCAAAAATAATTGATAATGCAACTAGGCAAGGTATGGAATTGAAAGATTTCAGCCTAATCTCATGGTGTGGACTATGTTAAGAGAAGCCTGCTCATTTCAAAATCAGCCTTGGGTGGAGGTACAGAGACTTACCAAGGCCTACCTGAAATCATTTCTTTACCCAACACATAAACTATACAACAATATTCACCAGCTTCACATGCAAATTCTAAAGCAAATATGACTTTAACAAAATGATAATTTTCGTAAATCGAGTATGAAGTGTTTCAAAGTTGGTAGCAAAATGGCCCAAAATATGTTCAAGTGAAACACCATCAAAATCCAAAATTCAGACCCTTTGGGTTTTAACTGAAACTCATCATTAAACACTGGTGTTTCAAATTTAAGAGGGTCCTTTTCAGGTAATTTAAAAATATGTTAATACAAAAAAGTCAGATTGTAGACAAGATTACTGTATGCCCAAGAATCCCTTTGACGAAACTATGGAGAGGCCCCTCACTAAGCAATTACCCCTGTGTCAGTGAAGATCACACATTGCTCTTTACTTACTGACTCCTGAGTCACAGTATGAAATCTTTATGTAAAACAAAGGCATTTTACTGGAAGTTAGTCAAATAATTTTGTGCAAGTGACATATTTCCAGGCGTTCCCTCCACTCCCCGGTCATCACAGGCTGTCATCCCATCCTTAGGTACAGTGACCGCGACATTTATGCAAGTGAAGGGAAAGGCACTTAAGCAAAGGAAGTGAAACAGAGGGAAAGCCACACTGCAAGGGGGCACAGGGGAGGCTCAGGGAACAGTGCTACGCGACAGCAGAGACGGGACTTACCTACAGTGCAGACTTTCTTGAAGTCAGGGCAGCACTCCATGTAGTGTTGACAGTTATAATCACAGTTGCAGATGGCATCTCTAGAATACCCTTCCCCACATCTCCCTGCACAGCTTGGTACATCTAAAATCATACAATACTAGGGTAAACATGGCCAAACCACTTTGAGAAAGGGAGAGAACTAATATGGAAGCTAAAGCCAATGGGCGAGGGAGAATTTTATCAACTAGAAAATGTTGAGAATGATGGCTATGATTGATGACAAACGGTGGATCTCATGGAACCTTAATCTTGTCCCTTTAGTTTTCACTAGACTGAAAAGATAAATACACCTTTGACAACCAGGCAAAGTAAGGGCTTTGTGTGAAGCGCAGTATTCCTGGGGGAGCGGCCACAAGCTGCCATTAATTGAGCCTCTCTGGGCCAAGTACAGAGTAATACATTGTCTCTAATGCTTATGAAAACATTTCCAGGAGAGTCTTAGTAGCCCTTTTAGATATAAAATGGCAAAACAGAAATTTTAATAACTTGCTCAATGGCACACAGCTACTTGTATATCTATTATAGGCCAATTACCTATTAATAGGTCAAAGACCAACTAATTATTCACACTGATCTCTTGAACTCTTTTAAGTATCCCTTAAAAGAGTTATTATTATTATTATTATTATTATTATATATTATTATTAATTATTATCCCTGGATAATAGATTATATGGTCACTCTAAGTAAACAACCCATCCAGAACTTGAACTCTGACATACCAGATTCTAAAACCCAAGCTTCTCCTACCCAGTTATGTTGCCTCTTATTCCCCATGATGAGTTTAAAGCAAGCTTGTTGGGACAGTACACACTTTGCTAGGTGTTCTCCTTTTTTAGTGGGGACAACAGAGAACCCTTGAAATAGCATCTGGGCATGAATATGAAGGTTATGAACAGAGTCTTTCTGGGCAAACTGTATTAAAAGCATAATTATCCTCAAATATTTCTAAAACAACACTTCAAAAGCCTCCCTGAGAGAGAACCACAGGAATGTAACAGTGGAATCCATCTCTGCAATAGAAATTGGCAGGTGCAATGTCCTAAATCCAAAGAGAGATGTTGCAACACACTGAAAAAATCTCAAAAGAGAATCCAGGAATGTTAAAGTCTTAATATGCAAATAAACAATGAAGAGTGGGATAACTCTCAGAACTTTTGCATACATATATATGTGCACATATATAAAAATGCATATATAGTGTATGTATATAAATACATATATTATATATAAAGAAAAAAGAATGAGAAGAGGTTGAGAAGGCAAGATAAGCAGACAAAACAACACCAAAAGATTGTTCTTTTACATCTAGCAGATTTCTGAAATAAATCAATTCTCTTTACCAGAAAAAATTAATTTTCATAGATGATATGTCTATTTTATTTTTTATTACTATTAATTACAACCACTAATTCTAATTTTATTTATTCAAAAGAAAGTGCAACTTTCTGTGAACAAGCAATTATATCAGAAAGGAAAGGGTGATTTAGGTAATGTGCATCTTGAAACACCATTATGAGAGAGCCATGGGGTCTAGGGGTATCAGAGTGGCCATCACTCCAGGTTAAATACTTACATTTGCTTTTCTGTGTTTGTGTTTTTGCAGTACTGAGGTTGGAATCCAGGGCCTTGCATTTGCTAGGCAAGCGCTCTACCACCAAGGTACATCCCTAGACCTGTTTTGCTTGTGTTTTTTCATCTTATCTGAGTGATTCCACACCTATGCCTACACAAGCAATAATCTCTCATGTTCAGGTTTCATGAGAATTTTAGCTATTTTACCAGAAAAGTCTGCTTTGGCCAGGCATGGTGGCATACACCTGGAATTCCAGCTACTTGGAACAGCTGGGACAAGAAGACCACAAGTTTGAGGCTAGCCTCAATAATTTAGAGAGACCCTGTCTCAAAAGAAAAAAATAAAATAAAAGGGTCTGTGATTGTTCTTGGTGGTAGAGCACCACCSGGTTAAAAAAAAGGGGGGTGGGGAGGAAGGAAGGGAGGGAGGGAGGGAGGGAAGAAAGGAGGGAGGAAGGAAAAGAAAAGAAATGTTAACTTTAAAAAAGTAACTTCATGGGGTTGGGGCTGTGGCTCAGTGGCAGTACATTTGCCTGGCATGTGTGAGGCACTGGGTTGGATTCTCAGCACCACGTATAAATAAATAAAATAAAGGTCTATCAACAACTAAAAAATAAGACTAAAAAAGTTAAAAAGGTAACTTCACGCTGGGTGAAATGGAGCATTCCCAGCAACTCAGGAGGCTGAGGCAGGAGAATAGAAAGTTGAAGGCCAGCCTCTTTTCAAGGCCCTAAGCAACTTAGCATGACCCTGACTCAAAATAACTAAAAAGCTAAGTTGCTTTTACTATTTATTAATAGTAATAAAGGGCTATGGATGTGGCTCATGGTTAAGTGCCTCTGGAGTCAATCCCCAATACAAAAAAATAAAAAAAAAGAAAGAAAGAATAAATGTAACTTCACAATAATGATCCTGAGTCTTGATTTTTCTTCTCTTGGGTTTTATACATCAAATGGAATGAAAGGGGCTAATCTAAAGCTGGGAACTATTATCACTAATCCACCTAAAGCTTATGCTAGAGAACTTTGCAAACATGATTAGCTGAATATATCTTAACCCTCTCTAAAAATGAATAACAAAAATTGTTCATCTAGGACTGACTCCGGGGAGGACTGTGAATGGTTCAGTATTATAATACAAAATGACATTTGTGGATGCTTCAGTTCGTATTTGGATGAATAATTCTGATAAGAAAGAAAGAATGCTTAATACTAATAAAATGCCACTTGAAACATTGTAAATGTTCATGTAGTAGAATACCTAGGTCTACAAGATGCCAAAATAAGTTACTTACAATAATTTTCTTGGTGGAAAAAAAGAATAGTTAAATTTGTCAAAATATAGGGGGGAAATGTGACTTAAATATTGTTCTTTGCAGTTATTTTGGAGATATTATAGAGTTCCAGCTTAGTTTTGCCATGAAAATGTCTGAATTTTTTTAAACATTTGGGGGCACCATAGGAATAATGACTGCAAAAATTGTTTTATACCAAAACTCAGAGCTGGGATGCAGCTCAGTGGTAAAGCACTTGCCTAACATGTGTAATGCGCGTTAGGCCCTTGGTTCCAGTCCCAGCTTTGCAAACACAACAACAGCAACAAAAAAGCTCAAAACTTCCTGAAAGATTTCATTATGTAGGAGAAAAGGATGAGAATTCCCAAGCACTTACAAATATATTACATGTTTTGCATAACTTTAAGTTTATACTCAGTATTAAACTCAAGCAAATATCAATTTTTGAAACTCATTTTTCTTGTCATAAAGATAAAAAACTGAATGCTCATCAATAGTTGTTAAATAAAAATATTTTTGATGGTTAAGGTACCTTGAGATGAAACTTGCTGAATCAAAAAAACAGAAAGTAGCAGCAACAAGCAAATGGGTAGTATTTTCCACTCCATGGTTGTCTTCCGGTACTGTACCCTCGCTGGAAATAAAATAAATGTATCAGAAAAATGCTCTTTAAACTCACCTTCAAATAAATGTGTGTGTTATACCCAATGTTTCAGTAACTTTCAAAATGCAGTTTAATAATAAAGCCTTTCCATTCTTGAACCTTTCATCAGCAGGAGGAATTCTATAGAAAATATTTGATCACTACATTTCCTTTTAGGCAGAACAAGTCATCAGGTCACCTCAATCACATTATTGAGCACTTTAATATGTTAGAAACCAACAAAATAGAAAATGGACTTATTTAAAAACTCTATTCCAAGTTAGCATGTACTTACAGAGTAACCTTTAAATCCTACAATGGGAAACAAAATAATCAGCTTCAGTAAAATTTAACTTAATAAACATTATGGAGTTACTACTCTGACTTTTCCTTAACTCTCAATATGAATTTATAGGCTTCCAACAGGTGTATTGCATAAATATTATCCTTTTCAAAACTCTCCAACTACTATCCTTATAAATCTTTCTCAAGCAAGCACCTTAAATGAAAACACATTTAATCCCACAGAGCAAGTTAACTTTGACACTTACCCGTGAAAGGACAGATGAATTTCTCCAATGTCCTGGAAGTCTTATATATCAGTGCAAATACATTGGGATGAACCAATTAGTCCAAAGGTTAGACAAAATCAACAGTGACAACCTATGAAATCAAACTTTCCTCATTTATTGGAAGACAGCCCAGACGACTAGACTTAGGCAACATCTGGAAAACACTTCCATTAAGAAAAATGACTACTACAAAATAAATTTAGATTTATTGGCCAAAACACATTTCTAATTTCTAAGTGAAGTGAACAAATTGTTCTGAGATGGTAAATCACTCTGGCTGGCTTTGACTAATGGATCAAAGTAGCAAGTTTAAAATAGTCAAAAGCTGGTAGACTTAATACCAAAGATGGTATTAAAATTTATCTTCTGTTAGCTTGTGGCATAAATTTTCTAAATTTGTACCAATAAATCAAATGTACATGTCTTGAGTGTTTTCATTTCTACTTTTCCACTAAGCACAGAATACATACTGTCAATTACCTACAGGTAAATCATCCACAGGGCAAGGTAGTGGGAGGGTGGGCTCTGCTTAAAAACTATATGGCTATTTCCCTTAGCTCCATTTAAGACCAGCAGTGTTTGAAAAGGTTTTCTAAATTACTAATTTAACTTCCTTGCCACAGAAAATGTGAACCATCAATCATACAGAGCTAAATCAGCCTGGCCCCAGGCTTTATCCCATTTTGATATGGAACATTCCTGTTCAAATCTTACCTACAACACAAGTCTCACTCATGTCCTAGCACCTCCCCCAAACCTTCCCAGATCAATCCAAACCACATCTAAAATCATAGGCAGCAAATATGTTTCATTGAAATTATCTGTAACTTTGCCTTCCACCTACAAAAGACTTTGATTTTTTCCAAAGTCAACCAATACCTGTATCTTAATTCTATTGTCAACATATAATCCAGTGCTTCACCACTGTTGTCTATTTATACACACTCAGCATTCAAACTGATCTAGCCTGGATTCTGCCCTGTACTCTGTTTAGTAGATGCTATATTTAATTATCATGAAATGCCTTTAAGTAAAATATAATCATCCACATCTTACACATAAGAAGATGAAGTGCCCCAACTGAAGAACTTGTGACCCATCCAAGGATCCATGAAGACTGGGAGCCAAGACCCAGACTTGATTCCATAGCTTTGCATTATTGCCATTATATCCAACTCTCTTTTGATCAAAACCATTGCTTAGTACATAATCACTGTTCTATAGTTTACTCCTTGATATTTATATATGTTTATGAGATTGAGTTTTTTTAAGGATAAGGATTATAATAAAAACATCTCTTTTGTTCCCATGATGCTTATTTCTGGGCTAGATACAAAGAGAACTTGGAGCTTCTCTTCCTGTCTCTTGAGGATTCCTTTCTCCTGGACCTCCCTCCCCATTGACAGGATTTTGTAGTTTTGGTTGCATATGTTGCATACGTGGTCTTGCCACATCAGCCGCAGCTGACAGGCCTAGAAGTAGGAACTTGAACTAAAGTGGGCTAATATGTTTCCCTCTCCTGGAAATTTTAATTCAGAAATTACAAGTTTGTCTATGTAGATTAATAACATGTAAACTGCTACCCATGGTCTAAAGAAATGAAGATCTCTTAAATCCTTAGAATAAAAAGATGGAAATGAATGAAGCAGCTATGCAGAGAGATTTCTAGTAAACTTTCCAAGTCCTGGTGACTATTCTTTAGACCCAACTTCTTGTTCCATGCKTTTATCATAAATTCTTCCTTTGGAGTTGTAGCTGGCAAGATGCTTTCTTGCTATTTAAAATCATAAATCAATTCATAATAGATTTATGAATTATTGATGGAGTTGAACTGAATTCTCTTAATTCTTAGGTTTACTGGAGTCAATAGAGGGAAACGAGAAGCTTTGTAACCTTCAAGTCAGACCTCTATAATATTGCTTATTATTATTAGAAATGTTGGAAAAACTTGTGATCCTCCTACCTCAGCCTCCTGAGCCGCTGGGATTATAGCAAAAATTTATTTATTTATTTTTTTGTACTGGGGATTGAACCCAGGGTGCTTTACCACTGAGCTATATCCCCAGCCCTTATTATGTTTTATTTTGTGATAGGGTCTTGCTAAGTTGCTTAGGGCCTCACTAAATCACCAAGGCTGGTTTTGAACTTGTGATCTTCCTAACTCAGCTTCCCAAGCCACTGAGATTACAGGCATGCACCACCGCACCTGACCTGGCTCCTATTCTTAAATAATATATAAATTGTTCTTTGACCACTGACTTTTGATCTATCCATACTGTCATTTTCCTCCTTTGTATGAAATTCTTTATAGTGATGGCAAATGACATTCTTAACTTGATTGGCTAATATGCACTTGTTTTTTTTTTTTGGGGGGGKGCGTACAAGGGTTGTACCCAGGGGTACTCAATCACTAAGCCACATCCCAGCCCTTTTTATTTTTAATTTTGAAACACACTGTCTTGCTATTTCTTAGAGCCTCACTAAATTGCTAAGACTGGCCACCTTGCTATCCTCCTGCCTAAGCCTCCCAAATTGCTGGGATCATAGATGTCCACCATCACATCCAGCTATGCACTAGTTCTGAAATCCAAGTTCTAGGGTTGGAAAACTGACAAAGAAAATAAGCACAGACATATTTATAGCCAATGTAAGTTACAACCTTAACATTTCCATTAACATATTCCATTGTCACCAAATATATTTTCTCTGTATAATAAAGTACAAAAAAGAATGACAGCAGGTATRGTGGCACATGCCTGTTATCCCAGCAGCTCAGGAGGCTGAGGCAGGAGGATCACAAGCTCAAAACCAGCCTCAGCAAGTTAGTGAGGTCCTAAGCAACTCAGGGAGACCCTGTCTCTAAATAAAATACAAAAAAAAACAGGGCTGGGGATGTGGCTCAGTGGATAAGCACCCCTGAGTTCAATCCTGGTACCCAAAAAGTAAAAAATAAAAATAAAAAGGGCTGAGGATGTGGCTCAGTGGTAAAGTGCCCCTAGGTTCTATCCCCAGTGAGAGAGAGAGAGAGAGAGAGAGAGAGACTATTAAATGCCTAGCTCTTTAGGTATACCTAATTATATTTACCTATGATTTGCCTGATTCCACTGAATAATGAATGAGGTTGTTTTAAGTTTATCCTTGCAGTGTGAGAATATTTTATCTATTAAATGTATTTTCATAAACTATACTAAACATTCCATTCCGTATTGGTCCATTTAGCCTTCCTCGTTGGTCACTCAGCAATTGTCCTGTTAGATTATAAGCTTTCCTGTTGCAATTTCATTTCTTAAAGACCTTTTCTCGATGTTCACTTAAATCTCATCTAATTGGGATTAGAAAAAAATATTGCAGGATTCGTTTCTGATGCGGAGGAACTGGGAGGAGGAGGGCAAAGAATGGTGCGGAGGACGTGCACGTAGCGGCACCCTGGGCGCGCTTCTAGGAATGACTTTCCCGTGGTGCCCGCCCGGTGCCTCGCTTCGTGCGTGGCAGCAGCACAGCCAGGGAACCTTCAAAGGTGTGCGAGGATATTTCCTCTGCATTAGATTATCCCAGACGGTCGTCCCCTTCTGCTTGGTGTGTTAGCTGTCACCTTGCCCTGTAGCCAGAGCGTCTGTACCTAGAGGCTTCCCTCCACCTCTCCACCTTTCCACATCTTGGGTCTGTTTCATTTCCTTCCAGCAGCAGCCTAGGAAAAACTGAAGCATGCCAAGGGAAAGTCACAGATGCAGGCTTGTTCTTTCCTGTGCCGATTCTGTGCACAGTGCTGGGTGAGTGCACTCCAGAGGTGGAAAACTCCCTCCTCTCCAGGACTTGGGGACAACTACTGGCCTTTGTGTTCAAGGCATTTTCACAAACTGGAAGGGATTGTTTTGTTTTGTTTTGTTTTGCTGTTGTTTCAAAGTCTTACCATTATTGCCTAGCATGTGTAAGGTCCTGGGTTCAATCCCCAACACCATCAGAAAAAAAAAAAAAAAATCTAACCATGAAGATCATTGTAAGTATTATTGCATTTGCTTTTCGATACTGGTAGTCTGACATTTGATCCCAATCTTTTCAGTTTTTCTAGTTGCTCCTCTAGAAACTACATTTCCCAGTTTCCCTTTTAATTATTGTGACTTTTGACTGTGTTTTCTCTGATGAAGGATGAGACAATGATGGTGGTGCACACCAAGTTCAAGGCCAGCCTCAGCAACTCAGTGAGGCCTTAAGAAACTGAGTGAGACCCTGTCTTTAAATAAAAAATTTAAAACTCTGGGGATGTGGCTTAGTGGTTAAGTGTCACTGAATTCAATCCCCAGTACCAAAACAGAAATGAAGAGAAATGACCAACGCATACCATCTAGGCAAGGACAGTAGCCTAGGGAATAGTAGATAGTAGATAGTAGTCTTTGTAGGATTCACATACGTTTG